ATATAAGATGTTCCTTGTGATAGAGAGATATAATATTCAATGGAACGATATTAGGGCCATTATGCCCCTTTGTTTATACATGTTATGGAATTTTTCTAAAAAAATTCTAAAGATGGGAGTAAGTTAAAGGTAATGACATCTAGCAAGAAACATGTTTGCCCTTCAGAGATATTCATGAAATTATTAATTATTATGCAACACCTAGAACCCTACCTTTAAGGCAAAGTTACACTTGAAGGTCACAACTCAACATTGTCTGTTACAGGGTTGTTGTATCCAGTCCATAATCTGTCTTAAAGACCAATATATTTCGAAATTACTTGCCACAAATTTTTACAATAATGGGACGATGTGCAATGCGCAACATCAGGACTCCTAACCCCTACTTTTAAGTTCAAGGTCACACGTGGAGATCAAAGTTTAACACGTTGTGTTATATTGTATATTTTGTGTCCAGTATATAACTGTTTCATCAATTACGGATTTTTGAATCACTTGGCACAGATGATGCCAAAGACAACATGTCATCCGCATCATGACCCCTTCCTCAAAGGTGAAGGTAACACTGAGATCAAAGCCTAAAATTTCTTTATCTCCGTGAAAATGAAAAAAAAATAATGCTCTAGTTACATTGAAAGGTAACATTTTTCAATATTATTGATTCACATATTCTCAAATCGTGGAAATGAACATTGTCCTCCATCTAAACCGGGACTTACTTTAAGACAGCTGAAAAAAAATTCTAGTTTTTTTGGTACCAGCAGACAAGGCATCATTATTGTATGACTTATCCATAAAATAACGTTTAGCATAAGGAACTTAATATAACTAATGCGTTTTCTGAAACTTGTGCTACTGAAAAAGACATTGTTAACAATAATAACACTAATATTTCCAATTTTTAAATCCGAATCTATGGTTAAAACACTAAGACTTCCTATCATGTATTGGATTCCTAAATTACATAAACAACCTCAAGCCTCAAGTGTCAGTACATACGATTTGTCTACCCTTTATACTGTATTGCAACATGATTTAATCCACGATGAGTTCATTTCTCTCATTCAAAAACCGGAAAAAGTTACATTTTTGCATGTAACCCTCAAAAAGCCGTCTTTACAAACTGTATTCTTAAACAATATACGACCTGTGACGAAGTTTGTAGAACACCTTTTTCTTTAAGACAATATTTGTCAGGTCTGGTAATAACATATTTAAACAAATCATGGGAATGGCTATGGGTACTAATTGTGCACCCCTAATCGCCGATTTGTTTTTATATTGCTATGACAGAGTCTCTCTGAAAATACACAACAAGATGTCATATTAGCATTAAATAACACTTCTAGATTACCTGAATGCCATTTTTAATTTAGATAATTCTTATTTTGATCAAATGGTGTCAAAAATTCATCCTAATGAGCCAAAACTTAATACAACGAATTCTTGAAATTTTTTATCATATTTGGATCTTCATCTACTATCAACAATTTTATTCACACGAAGATAAAAAAAATATATGATAAAAGAAATGACTTTGATTTTTGATTTTAGTATAGTAAATAATCTTCTTTTAGATGGAAACGTACCTGATACAACATTTTATTGGGTATATGTTTCTCATTTAAATAAATTCACTAGAGCTTGTAACAACATAAAAGATTTAACGAGCAAATTATTTTCATAACTAGCAAGCTTCTTAACCCATTACTTCATGAGCATTTTGTGAAAAAAGGCTGTTTTCATTGAAAAGTCTTCCGTTACAAGTTCAAATTGCTATAATACTATAAAAACTGCTTCAACACTAATCAAAATTGGCACTAATGCTGACTGGACTATTGCCCTTGCAACAACATGCTCAGGCTTAAATTTTCTGTTACCATGGCAACGAGGGGACATCTCAAAATTGCCAAAAATCACTATTTTGCGTTGATTTTTTCCATCAAAATTTATTTCAAAGTGCTGCAACTTCTCAATGGATTGATATAGAGTCAGATGCTTTTCAGCGGTGGTTACAACGTTACCTTATGAACAATCTGGGGTCATTAATAGCCTCTCACAAGTCCAAAATTGTCTTGGTTTGGCGATGAGGGGGACTTCTGGTAACCCCTGATGTATCTTTTGTTTGGGGCCAGCGCCGAAAAAGTGGCCACTTTTTTAACAACATTTCTCAAACAAAAACAAGTGTTGGGGGCCTAAATAAGGCATTTTTTGACCATTTGAGACAACAAAAAGAGGGGGTGAAAAAGGCGTTAAAGGCGTGTATATCGCGTAATGGGTTAAACAGGACTACCTCTGTTATAGATTACGTAAATATATAAGTGAATAACAGAATTTTACAATCGTAAATTTGAATTAATTTCCAAATTCAGAAGTGGTTTAAAAACACTTCTGCGACAAGGGATAAGCCAGCATGATATTTATGGGGATAGGATTTACAAACAAGATCTTCGGTCATTGTTATTATTCTGTTGTCGTTACTAAAAGTGTATTAAACGTTTTATTAAAAGAGGTATGACCCTACTATTTTAACACATACCGCTTGCATAGTGTTCAACCCTTTTACAGTTGGACGATACGCTTTTCTCTTTTGATTACATCTGACGGACCAAGAAGGAGACTCTTTGATTGACAGTTCTCAAAGTCGTTTGAGACTGAATTGTCTTAATGTTCGTCTTATGCCTTGCTTTGTCGGACCTTTTTTCCATTTTCTTGTTACTCTTTCTTCCTTCAAGATATTGAGTACTTTTGTTATAATGATCGTAGGGTTTCCCGTAACACGTTTCTACATGATTATGTATGTGTTTAACTTATTTCACCTTTTGAAACCATTACAACTGTTAGAATTTTACTTGACGGGGATTCATTTTATCTAAATTATCTCGTATATAGGAACATGTTGGGGCTAAGAATGAAGTTTGGTGCACCATTACCGGTTTAAACACCCCAGCAGTACTTATGCTGCTGATCGGTTCAAGGCGGTTCTTCTCTTTGTTCCTCAGATGTATGTCTTTGTTGTTTTATACTGTTATGGTGATACTATTGTGTCCCTTTGTATTATGTTCCTCGTCTACGGTATCTTCCCTTTTGTCCTCAGTTTTGTTTTTAATTTTGCCCCTCCACTTCCCCGTACGTCAAGTACCCTAACCCTGTGTCCTTTTACTTTGTGGGCCTATTATTTATTCACTGGTAATTGATTTCTTGTCGGTTACTGTTATTTCGTTTATGTATAATAAACGTTAAATCCCTGTCCTGTTTTTTGTTTGGGTCCCCCTGGGCTCCTTGTCCCAGGTCCTTGTTGCTTGATCGTTTCGGGGTTGCGTTTATTAAACGCGGCCTTTCCTTGTTGATTGTGTTTATAATATTTTGTTACAGGGTATTGTGCCAAGCCAGGCCCATGCAAATAAAATTTCAGTTATGAAAGACCCACATACATTGATTGATACGGACTGGACATAAATACGTAACCTTGTAACAGACCATACTCTGTATTGCTTTTTAATTGTCACATTGTGTTGCTTTGAAATATTGACTATATAAATATAATATTTCTGTTGGTTCATGAACATGAGTTATTTTATGATTTTATTTTATGATAAATTATATTTGCTACTTGTATATGCATCTCTAGCATTGATCAATATTTTGTCTTGAAAGTCCAAATCAATGCCTCGATGTTTTTAAAATATCACAGTTTTTGCTTAATGTAAAACTTCCCTTAGGCGGGGACGTTGGAAACTCTGTTACAAATTCTTGTATCGATAAATGTAAGTGGAAGAGGTTGTCGGCAAAATGAAAATAAAGTTTAAAATGAAACTTTATTTTAATTTGTTTTGTTTTTCTAAAACGTGCACACGGCGATCCTGTTAAACATTTTTAAAAAAATGTGAAAAAATTATAAAAGCTTCTATAATTAGATGTTTAACTCCCATTAGTGAGAAACGAAAAAAAGCAGTTCAGAAAAATACAGGTAAAAAATAAATGAATGTGTTTGCATTACTCGTTGTTTTCAAATTTTTTCACTTTTAAAAACAACAAGTTGCTCACGTCTATGACAGGATGAGCAATTTCGAAATTGATTGTTCTTGATTTAAACTGATTGTCCAATTCCTTGTCTCCCTTTTGGTTTTCAAATTTGTCTTTAGTTATTTGTAGACATGTGTACATCATCACTTTGTACATCACGGGTTTTAACAAGTATAAAACATTTAAGTAACCTCAAAACTGGTAATATATATATATATATATATATATATATATATAGGATGTTAAAAATGCCGAATACCGAATACCCAGGTGACAATTATGTAAGTAAATGTTGTGGGAGAAAGTAAAAGTGCATCGAGAAAACTACAGGATAATGTCACTGTATTAAGGTGTCTAGAGAGTTTAATTTGATTTTAGATATAATTATTGTAGTCTTTGATTGAAAATTGATTATTTGCAGGAAACCCATTGCAGGGCTTGTAATTTGAAAGGGAAAATTGATTTAGAAAGCCTCGAATAGACTTGACTTTGGTTGACAGTTTAGTCTAAACATTTAACAACACTCCTTAATTGTAAACATTTACCTATGTGTGTGCAAAAAATATCATTGCGTTTTGTTTTTATAGCATATATCTTGATTTGAATGTCATTACCTAAAACATAATAATACTATATGTAATTAATCATATAATGTGTAGCTTTGCGTAGCCATTGAACATTTGACCCCCCCCTCTCTCTCTCTCTCTCTCTCTCTCTCTCTCTCTCTCTCTCTCCCTCTCTCTCTCTCTCTCTCTCTCTCTCTCTCACTCTCTCTCTCCCTCTCTCTCTCCCTCTCTCTCTTCTATTATTTGTAAATTGTCTTAAGTTGAATGGCTTTCTTATTAAATAATTGTTAATATTCTTTTCATCTTGCATTAATATGAATTCGTGTAACAATTTGCTAACTAGTACAGCATAACCCTTATAACAAATAGAAATGAAATATATTATATTTTTAATTGATTATTTAACAGATGTGGCTGTAACACAATTTAAACAAGTCAAAAAGTAAAGGAAATGGCAAGTGGTGGTGAGACCTTGTTTGCAGAGACGCTTAGTAATGATGTACTACTATACCGTTTGCAAATTCTCATATGTGATGGAGGCCTGCTGGTTCTGAGAAATATCCTAGACCAGACCCTTGCTGCTCAAGGCATAACTTTAAGAGCATGTTTGGATAGTGAAAAGTCAACAGTTAGACATTTAAAAAATCGGGGTGTTATTACGCAGGAACAATATGATATATTGTTTCCAGATTATGATCGAATACCAACTACAACAGATATGGACATCTCACTTGTCATTTGTCTTCTTAGAAACCTGAAGTGTTTTGGATTGAGTCAAAGGTTTGACTGGGATGCAACGCCAATATCAAGTGATGTATCGGTTGAAGCAGATATATGTCGTTTGAGGACTTTAAGAGATAAAGTAAGTATGTGATGAAAAACTTAGTTTTGAAATTTTTATTTGGCCAAGAAAAAAGTGTGTGGTTCAGGTAGCCCTATCGAATCTAATTTTATCGCCGACACTACAATTTTGTTTTATTGTTTTTTGTTTTTTTTTTTGGTTTTTTAATAATGTTCTCTAACCTGAGCGAAAAATATGAAGAACAAAAGCAGGCTTTTTACTATAAAACTATAACTACTTCCTCACCTTAAAAAATCTCATGAAGCTGAAAAAACGATTCTGTCTGAAAAAAATCACACCTATCATGACTTGTTTGCCTTTAAAAACACATTTTTGTTTAAATTGTTCAAAACACACACTCCGTTTCTGTTTCAGGAGAGTGTAAAGTATAAACTATGGGCGTCAATAGCATAATCGGTCATTTTGCTAAGTGGTAGCCACGTATTTTATACCAAACTCATTAGTAAATGGATTGTCTTCATATCTCGGCAACAACCTTTTTGTGAAGACCTTTTAAAAGTTTAACTTCTATTGACTTGAGTTTAAATGGCCTTGATCGTCAAGCTCAAATTGAGTTTCGATTAAATTGTCATAAAGTTATTGTTATTGAACGGATTTGAATTATATATTTGGGCAAAACAAACCTTGCTTCCAAACAAACATATTGAATGATTCAAATGTGACCTTGATCTTTGGATTAATGAAATTATCTTTGTTCTTTTCTTAACTGGCTATAACTTTGTTATTTGTAATTGAATTCACTTCATATTTAATCACATCATATTTTTTAAGGTTATTGCCTTCATAAACTCAAATTAGTCATAAATTTAATGGTCAATTATTAATATTCACGGATTATTGCTATAAGTGGCTGCTATGATTTGGTAATAATCAATGGATTATTGTCATACTTGGACAAAACAGCCTTATCAACAAGATCTACTAAAAGGTTAAACTGACTTAAAGCTTGAGAGTAAATAGACATTGACGGTCACAGACAAGTTATTGAGTTTTGTTTAAGGTGTGTGATTTTGTAATTCATATACGGATTTGATTCATATGTGGACAAAACAACACTTATGACCGATTGGACATGTTCAGAGATCCTCCTGAGTAACGAGTAACTTCAAAGTTCTACTAGTCCTGCATGCTTTGCGACTCGTCCTGTATTTTGTGCATGATTATTAAGATAAACCTTGCCAATGTAATACACCGCATGAATTCTCATAATCAAATTGTTTAACATTAATAAGGAAAACAAAAAACGAAGCTTGTGGCTTAAATTATATATAAATCGCGAACTATATAGAACGTTGCAGCCATACCCGTATCAAATTTATATTTAGAGCTTTTTAAAGAATGTGATATATACATTATCTGCACGTTAAATTTAAACAGAATAATTGTGAGAAATATAGCTGTCTATTGCACCGACGAATTTACGCTTGTCCTCTCTAGAACCAGCATACGTCAATTTTATTACCGCCTTGCCTCGATCTATACTCGTAAATATGATTGGCCGAGTGATATTTTCGATGTCTGCTGACATTTAATAATTTTGATATAACCTTGACAATTTATAGACCATGGTCGTCATGCTTCAAGAAACCGGAAAGATATTGACCTTCACTTATCAATGACATTGGCCTTGAAGGTCAAATTGTTGATTTTTGTCACAGGATATAAATTTGTTATTATTGAATTGATTGACCTTATATTATAACAGGACATTTCTTGGATAAGATATTTATGTATGTCAAGCTCAAACTGACATTGACTCTTTCATGACCTTGACCATAAAGTATTTCATTTTCACTGATTTTTGCTATAATTGACTTATTATAATTTGTAATAAATGGATAATTTTAAAACTTTAACAAAACACCATTTTGGACAAGACCTAAGAGTTTGAACTGACCTTTGACAAAAGAAGACGTGCTATCAAAGAATCATATTTAATTATTTAGTTGTCAATGCCAAAGTAACGAAGTTCTCTTGGTTCTTTCTGTAACTGACTCCAACTTTGATATTTAAAATTATATTTACTTTTTTATCATATTAAAATAAGCTAACCTTGCAATTCCAATAAAAATGTTTGTAACACTTACAATGGCTACTTGCGAAATGGTAGTTTTTTTTTCAATCATACTTGTACCAGTGTGAATGGATTTATCAATTTTACATTCAAGATTTTATCCAAAAATAGTCAAATAAGAATTTTTGCCAAACATTATAACTAGTTGTTGATGTTTTATAAACATACCTACTTTATATACATGAATTTATCACTTTTGAGTAATTGTATTTGTAAATATGTCCTTTTATAAATTACACATTTTGAGTGTATTGTTCCTATTTCAGATTTGTCACATGTCAACAACAAGTCGAATACAACCCACTGATTTTGCAACTGTGTGGAGTGACATTGAGGAGGTGAGCATAACTTATTTAGCCAATTGTTTAATACCTCCCTGATTTTTTGTACAGACCACAATATCAGAACTTTCCCCCCTATCACCAGGTACTGATGTAAGACCCTTTTTTCAGTTCAAATAGCCTTTCTTTTTTTCCTTTTTCGAAAATGAAAATTCCAAAGGCAGCCAAAAATCAACTGTTTAAGCTTCTGAGAAGAATTTAACCTTTTTTCTTGAATGAAACGACAGGTACATTATCATATAAAATGTTAAAAATCTTCAATGTAGTTTTATTTAGAATTTCTCAATTTTTCAATATTGCTGAAATATATTTCCAAAAACATGTTGGGGGTCTTTAACCAAAATAGTTTGAAAAAGATACTACGGATGGCGCTTTCATCCGTTCGTTGGTTTGTCTTATAATCTGCGCTACCGAGTTACGATAGGGGCCATCTTACTGTGAATAAAACAACATGTTTATTATGTAACAATTGAATCAGGGGCAATGACATTTTATTAAGCAAAATAATATTATAACAAAAAAAGAGGCCCCTTATGTTATGTCAGACACACTTCAAATCATTTTTGCTTACAAAAAACGGTACGTTTTCTTTGATATCATTATATCCCCAAAAACGAAATTTGTGGTTTTAAACTGGAGTTAGCTGGAGGTGGTCGGTGGTCGGTCGATCTGTCCGTTTCAGATTTATTGTCCGGGACATAACTCAGTATGTACAAGAGATATCAACTTTACATTTTGTATGTAGATATATGTCATTGAGTAAAAGTACAGTCAAAAAGAATCATAACTCTGTTTCCCTTATTTTTGAGTTATTGCCCTTTATTTATATTACACTTGAGAATTATAAAAAGGTATCAATATGTAACTTTGTTGGTAGATATATCTCACTTTGCAGAAGTTCAGAAATCTCAGCGATGTAGAATTTGTAGCCCGAAAAATAAGTCATGAAAACGTCAAATCCAAAGTTTAATTTTACCTTATTGATATAGAACAAATAATTAAAAAAATGAAAAAAATCTATAAACTACTGCATCTTCCCTATGTGCAACATTTTTTATAACACGCATGTTTTCTGACAAGCGCGTGTCATGCATAGTCGGCACTTGCGGCAATTTCTAGTTCATTCTGTATGTTGCTAAAATAACTATAAAGAAACGAAAATGAAGTAGCTACCAAAGTATCAAAATGTAAGCACATTTGTCTGCTCGTAGACAGTTTGTTTCCAAAGAATAGCTTCTGAAGGATTCCAATAATTGTTTTTATAATTGGCAGTATTCCGAACTCCGGATGTTTTTATGCCACTGTATCATATGCATTTCGATGGCAAATAGCAATTCTTCTCTTTGTGTATTTGTGTGGTCTATAGATTACAAAGTGAACTTAACAACAAATCCCCAACCCCCCTTAAAAGGTAAGTTAAAATTCAACCAAACTTGGCAAGATTGTTCCACATCAAAGGGATTCCAAAGTTGTTCAAATAACTTTATTCCATGCAGGAATTTGGTTGCCATGGCAACGAAATTGCAAAAGAAATCTTCTTTGAAAGAGACCTAGAGATATGATATTTTGCATAAGCATTGTCTTGTGAACCAATACCAATATTCTTTAATTTAAAGCCCTAGGACCATACCTGGCCCTGCCCCTCCTTTATGCATGCAGTAAAAGTAATTTTTTTTCGAAACTACAAGGTCTAGCATGAAACATTATCTAGTGAAGTAGTATTCACAAGATTCATATGTAATACCTTTGGGGCTAAACTTTGACTTTCCTTTAAATTATGTTTAATTTAAGCATGTTATATTTTTACAAAATGGTCGACGTAGATGACGTAATAATATTTGAGGATTCAGTCGTAAAACAGATTAGAAAATTCTAAATGGAAAGATTTAAAAATGTCATCGAGCAATCATTTCTGTACTAAAGTAATAAATTCCTTCAGATTTTCTCTCTGTTTGCTTGGAAAAATAGTCCGTTCATTAGCATATCAATTGTGTAAATTTTGTCTGGTCTAAAATAATGTGGCCTCTCTGCTACTCTTAAAGTTATCAAATATAAAAATGTATCCCATGTTCTTTCTACAGCTTGTTTTATAAAAAAAAATCATGTCCGTAAATCTTTGTATCACAGGCTCTCTGTTTTTCTTTACGGAAGTCAAAAAAGTTCATGCAATGTCTTCAATGAAAAAGTGAAATTAACTACAAATAAAGTGGAAACATGTTCATATGATATTTTCAAGACAAAATTTGCAACTGATAATGTTAAGTTACAAATCAATTCTTGTCGGTATCAACGTTCAGTCGATTTTTTTTCTTGTCGGTATATGTGTCTGTACCTATCTATTAAATTTTCTATATCAGATTGAAAAGAACGCTTTACAAATATTAAAGTAAACATGCCCTTCATGTATTACATACCACAAATTACATTTATATGTGTTAATTTTCAATATATAGGTTCTTGTCGGTACTTAGGGAGACCCTCAATGTTGCTAAATCTCCGTCGGTAGACCACATTGTTTCCACTGATTATCTTAAAAGCTATTTATCACAAAATTTTTATATTTTACATACTGATTGGCCATTAGTGGTCTATTGTTTTTGCGATCACTAGGTCATAGATCAAAGTCACATGGGCCTTAAAATTAATGTCAAAATGGTTTCCGTTCATTATATTAAAAGCTGTTCATCACTAAGTCTTGATATTTTACATACTGGTTGGAAATAACTAGTATGACCTATATTGCTTTATAGGTCACTAGGTCAAAGGTCAAGGCCATAGGGGTAAAACAATATGTTAGCATGGTTTCCGCTCATTTTTTAAAAAAGTTTTTCATTACAAGGTCTTTATATTTCATAAGTAAAATGGACATAATTATGTAGTACATGACACCTAGATATTTTGAGCTCTCTAATGCAAATGTCAAGGTCACAGGGGAATATGTGTTGTTCGATATTTCGTGTTGTCTTTTAATTTATTTAAGTTAATTCTTTTTTTTTAAAAAAATCGATCAATGTAGGTTCATGAAGGATTGTTTAAGGCTGTCAATGATCTAAACTATTACAAAAAATATTAAACCAGAGAGAACTTTTCTCTGACAAATTGAACGACGAATTTTTAAATTTCAAACTTCAATTAATGAAAGACAGAATCCCTAAAGAAAGCCCAACACGCCAAAATTGTAAAATATTGCAGGCTCGGTTTGATTGAGTTTTTCATGGACGGTACTGGAGAGTGCAAGTTACCGCCCAGGTACCAAAGGCTTATGCAGAATTTTGATTTAAGAAACATCCGCAGATGTGTTCATACAGGGGAAACTATGGAAAAGCTTTACAATTTGGATACCTTAAAAAAGTGTTTTAGAAAATTATAAACACGTAACAAGAACTTGTCTATAGTTAAAATTAAACTAACTCCTGGTGGATTTTTTAAATTTATATATCGATATATTTCGAAAGTAGGGAAGCCAATTAACAAAAGACGGAGCGAAAGCCCGGCTTTGACTGCAGGGCGATATTTAGTTGGCGTACAGAGCGTAGTCTGCGAATGTCTATAAAAAATCTTTCACAGTTAAAATTGACGTACTAAAATGTGAAGCCGGAAAATATGATACAAGTTATATATAATTTATAGTTACTTACACTGGGTCCATCAATTATTGATAATTTTCGTATGTTCACTGACTGTGCGTTATAATCATAGATACTCTGTGAATACACAAACTTTTTCTAATATTTGTTTTAATCTGAAATTAAGACCTGTACTGGAAATATACAGTTCTATTTACATTTTGAGAGAGGACAAATATAATCTTAACGACAATACTAAATAAGAGAGGAAGTATCTTGAAACATAACTGTAACACGTATTACATCCTAAGAACGACTGACACATTTTCAACCATTTTCACCAACCTCATAAAAGTCTTTCAATTTCATGTAAACGTGGCTTTTTGTGTTTGTGTCTGACCTGAACGTGTACGCTTGAGTTAGTGAGTAAAGAAAATCATAGTAAAATACACTTTTCATACTTAAAATGGTAGTAGTGATCCATTTAGTGTGCCTAGTGAATTGTATGACTTTGTCTCTATTCTGCTCTCTGAATATCTGACCTCTTCGAGAATCATAACATTTTGGCAGGAACAATCACGTTACACGAACATGCTAAGAAAACATTTGATTTTGTCGAATTTTCATGGACACACGTTATTAAATGTGAGTCATCTGAAAAATCATGATATAACTCGAATTAGTGGCATCCTGTATTATGCCATGCATATGATATCAATGTTGGGCCGCATCAAAATTTGGAACATAAATAAAGCCATAGGTAACATCTGTGCAATTACATTTATAACGCTATAGCCATTGAAGGATATCACGCTTTATTAGTTGTCTTTAAACATATTAAAGGTATAATTATATGTCGGTCTCAACACTTGATCATGTCTATTTTAACTTTCAATTGCTTTTATATATAGAAATTCACAGACAACGCTCCTCCTAATACGCTAAATTAATATCGCCTTACGCTCAACATCGAACCTTTTGCTCCATCTTTTGCCCCTTGGCTTCACTACTTATATATCAGGAGTAATTTATGTCGATCGAAGAACAAGTTTTATTACGGGTTGATACTTTTTCTAATAAACTTCGAAATAACATCCGAAAGGTGGAACATTTCAATGGTTTGGAAGACCAATATTCTACAAAAAGTCGTAAGCTTTGTCAGCGAAAGAGTTCTCTCAGGTTGAATATAATTTTGTTTTTATAACAGCTTAGCAGATCATTTATTTTAGAAGTCTTAATCAATTCTACACGGAACAAGATTTTTGTTTGCCCTGCCCTTTGAGCTTCAATATTTTGTATTTGATATCATCTGCAGGCTCTTTACTACAGTTGTTCAAGTTTGTCTCTAGTGTCAAAATTAGCTCCGCCCAGAGGGTCAAAGGTTTCCCATATTTGTATATAATGAAAATTTAGAAAATCTTTTTCTGTAAACTGACAAAGGTAACAGGTAAAATATTTGGCATGAAACATTGTGTATTTGACCTTTACCAAGTTTGTTCATATTAGGACTCTCGGGTCCGAATCCCCGCTTCAGGGTGCACAGATTTTCGTGACAAATAATTATAGTGAAATCTTACAGGAATCTTATCCCAGGACGCTTACAATACTAGAGCTGAGATAGCTGACATGAAACATTTTGAACCTTTCAAAAGTTTGTTCAGGTTATGTCCCTAGGGACAATAAAAGCTTCACCCTGCCTATGGGTACACTGTGTCCAACTATTTTGTCGCCTGGAATTTGAACTATGTTCAAAGTTTGAGATGTAAACTTGAACTTAAGCTGTCCTAGATTTTGATAAGTTACATAATTCCATTGTATTTGATGTACAATTAACTTTGATATCAGCTTACCTAGATTTTGCTGATGTGACCTCCTTTATTGTCTTTTGATAAACAGCTATGAAATCTGGACAATTATTACAGTTTTAGATGTTAAATTGTACCTTGGTATAAGCTTACCTAACAATTGATGAAGATACGTGCTTTGGTTGTTTTTTATCTCACCTGTGCTAGCTCAGTCCGTCGTCATCTTATTATATCACCGCATCTGCAATAGCATATAGCGATTCATCTGCGTGTGTGTGTGTATGTGTGCGTTGGTGCGTGTGTGCGTGCTTGCATGTGTGATGTATAAATTATATTATGAACTCAAAAATTCTTCTTGTGGAAAACTACAAGTCCAATTTCAACCAAACTTTGCAGAATTGATCCTTGGGTAAAGGGCTTTCAAAGTTGTTCAAAGAATTTGATTACATGCAGAAATCTGGTTGCCATGGCAACAAAAATGAATAAATTAAAAAATCTTCTTGTTAAGACCCACACAGCCCGAAGCTTAGATATTTTGCATAAGGCATTGTCTTGCAGACTTTTACCAAAATTGTTTAAATCATAATCCTGGGGTCAAAATTGACCCTGCCCCAGGGATCATTGATTTTCATTATGTACATATAGAAACCTTTAAAAAAATGTGTGAAAAAAAAACAACTTACATTGGAATGTTTTATACAGGTTCTGCAATGTCTAAAAATGTAAAATATTTAATAGCTTAGTCATGATTTTCAGAGATATTTATGAAATGATTCAGGTCATGAACTCTTGCAAGACAGTTGTGTGGTTTGTAGAGATGTGAAATGAAATAATTTGAGCACATAATAAGGACGTTATGATTTACACCATGTGTTTAATAATGATTGTTTTAAGAAATTGGTAGTGCTTTATTGAAAAGATGGTTTTAAAGAAAAAGTTACCGTACTTGCATTTCAAAGTGTACTACAGCTATGTTATTCAGTTAATACCTATTTTTTTGTCAATAAAAAATCTTTTATTTTTTAATCAACTATTGCACTATGGCCTTTGTATCTTAACATCTGGATATGTGTCGAATGATTTGACATGCTGAAATGTTACCTTGACCCCTAAATTCACTAGACACTTTTGCATTATTGCATAGTTCAATTGTATAGTGACAAAAAATCTACTTCTGTTATATTAATACGGTGGCATAGCATTTTTTCACAAATGCATTCTTGTATATTTTTCTAAATGACGTCATCTCAGAAACCACTTGGGGAAATGGGATCTTTCTGGCATAAAGTTCTACTAAAATTGTTCAATTGGTTATACTCAAATGAATTTCTGAGTAAGAAGGATGACTAATAGATTTTAAATGAAAAATTTAAAAATGTTGTCTTTAAATGTAAGGCCTAGGGAATTGATATTTTTGTGCTAAGCAAATCTTATAAAACTTTAAATTCAACTAAAAAATGTTAAAATATAGCCTTTGGGCCCCAGTGGGTCATAAATTTCCATTCAGATGTTTTGCGTGAAAAATTTTGTAGTGAACCTCTACCAAAATTGTTCAAATTATGCACCTGGAGTCAAAATTTGGCCCGTCACCGGGGTCATTCCTATTCCATTTGTAAATACAGTAAAACTTACAAAAATCTTCCGGTCAAAAGGTACAAACTTAACAGCTTTGATATTTAGTATTTGATATCTTATATTGATCGTCTGCCAAAGTTGTTCAAATTTTGCCACTTTTGTCAAAATTGGCCCCATTTTCCGGGATGGCCCATTTGTCATGTTCTATGGTAAAAGTTTAAAAAATGTTCTTCTCTAAATTGGCAAAGGCTAGAGGTTAAATAGTTTACATGTATCATTGTGTGGTGGTCCTCTACTGAGATTTGCACAATTTACAGCCCTTGTGACAAATTTAGCCAAGCCCCAGCGATTGATTTTTATTAAGTTTATATAGTAAAAACTGTAATCAATCTTTAATTGATAATAAAATGCTTAGAATTTTGATATTTTGTGTTTGATATCATCTATAATTTCTATACAAAGTTTCACTCTACCGTCCAAATGTGCCACTAGCCCATGGTCCTAGCTTTTTTATTATTTGTATTAGTAAAATCTTTAAAATGAACTTCATCTCTGAAATGACAAAAGTTACAGGTAAGAAATTTGGCACGAAACATTGGGCATTTGACCTCAACACAGTTTGTTGAACTTCTGGCCCTGGTGTTTTAAATGACCCTTCCCCGGAGGCGTATATTTTTCAACTTCAAACTTCCCAAAATTGAATAAAAAACCTTGATAACACTCTAGGGCTTATTGTGTTGGTCTTAATAACATGGGTTATCTGGGTCAAAAAATAGGTCATACAGTCTTAAATTTTGAAAAACCTTTTTTAAAACTCTAGAGGCTACTGTTTGGTTTACATGTTTTGGCCATTGGTGAGAAAGGTTAAAAAATGATTCATCTGTTGTAAGAAAAACTAGGTCACACAGCCGAAATAGAGTAGGACCCTGTTAGCTCTGTAGAGGCTACTTTTCGGCCCAAATGGCCTGGAAATTAATCAGAAAGGTTGTATAGAGGGTTTCTAGGATATGTTCAAATATGGCTTATCGACTGTTAATATCTAGATAACAAAGCCAAATTATGGAAACACTTTGCTTACATTCTAAGAGGTAATGATTATCCCGAATGTTTGTCAGAACGGTTATTTTGTTGAATTCTAGCTCAGCTTTTTTGGGTCCGCCTTGGTCAAAAACGAGATCACAGAACCAAAAAATTGAAATCTTTGTAAGGTCACATTTAACAGAAATAGCCTGAAAATTGGTCAAAAAGGTTGCTTTAATAAATATGGATCATCTGGGGCCACAGCACACAAAAAAGCATATATGGAAAACTTTCGTTAACATTTTCATTATTACACGTGCTTAAATGAATGTTCATGACTTTCTTTCAGACAAGAACTTTAACTCCATTTCAAAGTTTAATACAATTTTGTAATGCAGTTTATACCAAAATTATTATCAAGAAGTAATACTTCTATTTTTTTCCAATAATTATTATCCTATGGCCTTTGATTCTTAACATTAGACACATTAGTAGATTGTGTTTCAATTGAAATGCTTAAATATGAGCTGGTACCCCAAATTTACTAGACACAAGTGCATTATGGCAAAGATCAATTGACGTATAGAACAAAAAATATTCTGTTTCTAAAATAAGAGTTGTATAATTGCGGTGGCATAGCATTTTTCACAAATTTAATCTTGTTGAGTCTGTGTCTTCCATTGTAAAACGATAAAACATTTTCATATAAAACATAATTGAAAAACACAGTAGTAAAAGTAAGTTGACAAATAATTAATTTTTTTTTTTTAAGGTACTTGTTCGAAGAAGTTTCCCTGCTCTGAATATGCAACAAATAATTGCCGATTTCAAAAATTGCCCTCTAGATCCAGAGGAAAGTAAAAAGATTCAGAAAGAAGTAAAAAAGTGGAAGGACTATGAAGCTGATGTTGGTCGTTTGGAAGATGAAATGAAAGAAATATCAGCAAATGTTTCTGATGTGAGCAAGAAACGCGAGGAGATAAAAATACCACAATATCAAAGTTTGTTTCTGAATTTATATATAAAAATGTTTTACATGATTTGATTGAAAAACACTTTAAATATGGTTGTACATGTATATAAATGCTTTAAAGAAACAGCATAATATTGCGTCTGACGAATGGCTTAAAATGACATTCTGATAATGTTTTAGCGGTCAAGTTGAATTGACGTAACGTGATATATTTCAACTGCCTGTCTAATTAAATGATGATTTACAAATAATTGATATCGAAAAATGTTTTTCATACAATATTAAAACTACCCAAATTCACACTGTTCCAGATTTTAATACTTCACAACAGCAGGTGTCAAGTGCTGTGTGGCAGTTGTAAAATGTTGCCACGGACTTCACTTCAGTGCTTTTTATATATTTCTGGTCTTTCGGAATCATTGATGCCAACACTTTTAAGTGTTGGAAATTGAGTAGCGCTCTTGAGTACCGCTCAAGCCGGTGCTAGGGGCGTGTGGATGTTGCACGTTGCATTTTTCCTCTTGTGCAGACTAAATTAAAAAAGATCTGCAGTTTTCATGTAATTTTGTTGTGATTAATGGTTCCGAGGATACGCGCTTTCTCAAGAGTTTTTTTTATACTTCACAACAGCAAGTGTCAAGTTATTCTTTATCATACAATTACATTTTCCTTATAAGTATAAAGTTTAAAACTTAAAAAAATATTTTAATATACAAGAGCTAAAGCTTACTTTCCATAGCAACGAATGTCTTCCATTGACTTTAAAGATAAATGAAAAGTTTCAACACAACCAGTTTCTTCCATAGCAAACATTAACTTATTGTAACAACGAGTGAATCCACCATTGAATTTCATAGAGGGCACTGACTTGTCATGGAACCATTTATTTTGTATAGCAACTTGTGATTTTTGTGTAAATGTTGTTTTCATTTAGCAATAGCAACCAGTATTGTTTTTTACACGAGCACTATTTCAGATGCAAATATAAACTTTGTGATATCAGTTTTTGATCTGCTTTCGTTTATAGTTTACAATATTATTTATTCATTGTCAAGGAGAGTTTTTATATTCCAGTAAGCGATATTATGGCCACTATGGCGCTCTTTTGCAGTTATTGTAGCATTATTATCCCTCACTTAGTAAATATTTACAAATTTCAACTTGTGTTGCGCATAAACAAAATAAGATTTGACATAGAGTCAACTTTAAAGAAATGTTGTTCAGCAAGTGAAGTTGTGCAATTGTGGTATCCTGTTGATTTATTTATTATTTTTAGACCGACTTTTTTAAAGGTAAAAACTTGGACTTTGTTAAGTCATGGTGGTTGTAATATACTCCGGCTCTAAGCCGATATTCTTGGATAATCTAACTAATAATAAAAACACCATTTAAGGTCACGCCATTTATTATCCAACCATTTATCTCCAAATTAAAGAGTATTAAAGAACGACAACTATTGTACTTAAGTTTTACATACAAGACCGCAAGAGTTAACTTTCTTGATTACTTAATACACTACATTCCTCCCCTTATTAAATATGAAACCCTTAATTGTTTTTCAAGCATAACACATATAAATCTGTTACTATTAATTACAAAAGTTTGCCCGAGTTGGAATGCAAAACCTTATTCATTTATAACATAACACAAAATTCTTTAACATATAAACTTTTAAAACAAAATTCTAAACCTTTGTAATGTAAATACTTTTACAAATACAGTTAATAATACAATGTACCTCATTGTTAAAAAAACCCAAAGTTTAACTTTATGTATATGAACTTTCAGTTATTTCTTATCCATTACAAAGTCTTCATATCTCTTAGGCAATGTTTTTACTCTTAATGGTCTTGTCATCATCTTTGTAGGTGTTACACTTTTAGTTTTTATCGGAATTGCTTCCCTTGCTATAGACACATTTGGATTACTGTGAATTGAATCTTCTCCATTCTCTATCTCATTTTCAACTAAATTTTCTACACTCTCATTAATAAACTTTTCATTTCTCAAATCAACATTTCTCTGAACAGAATTTTCAAGCACATTTCTATTTTCTGATTGAACATATTCATTTTGCGACACATTTTCATCTATATTAGCACTACAACTTTCATTGATTTTTTTCACATGTGATACATTTCTTGAATATATAGCTCCATCCTTGGATTCTATCATGACACTATTCCCTTGCCTTTTGGTCACTAACATTGGCTTTGGATTGAATACTGTAGATAACTTATTTTGTTTCCTTTGTTTCACTAATACACTATCTCCTTCTTTGATATCACTCTCCTTAGCTTGTCTTTGTCTGTCCGCATATATTTTCCATTTTCCTTTATTTCGCTGTCTCGATCCCTTACTTCTTGATCATAATTCATAAATGAAAAATCTGAAATATCTGGAATTTTTGTTCTTATATTTCTCCAAAACAACATGTAGGCTGGCGAGACACCAGTTGTTCTATGTGGAGTTGATCTATACATCATCAAGTAAGTCTGTAGATCCTCTTGCCAATCTCGATTCTCTGCATGTGATATTCTTATACGTTTCATTATTGATTTATTCTGGAATTCGACTTCCCCATTTGCTTGCGGCCATAACGGTGTTGTGTTCCTATGTTCTATATTATGTGTTTCTAGATATTCATGTAGCTCTTTACTGTTGAAATTCTGAGCATTATTTGTTTGTATTTAAATTGGCAGTCCATGTACCGCCAAACTTTTAAAACACTTAATAATCTTGTCAGATGTTATTGTCTTAAGAATAAATATTTCAACCTAAAGCAAAATTTCATTTCGAAGTGCATTAGGAACAACGATTCTCGTACCGCGTAATATCAATTTTCCAAGAGCAGATAATTCATGTTTAATAGGTAAATAGTTCTTATTAGTGACTTCAAATCATCTACTTGTTTTCAGTATTTGTTGAATTTCATTTAGTTCAGGATCTTTTGCTGATTCTTCCTCAATCTTTCTTGCAGTCATAGCAATAGGTATGTCTTCAGACGTAACAAATCTTACATATGCCTCTGTTTGCAAAAAAACCATGATTATCTTCTGATATCGCTTTTTCCGGAATCAATTGTGACAATGAGTCAGCAATATTTCCTTTACCCGGTATATATTTTACTGTGTATGTAAATGCTTGTAATCTTAATACCCATCTTTCTATTCTAGCACATGGTTTGGACCTCCTTGAAAACAAGAACTCCATGTACCGACAAACTTTTAAAACACTTAATATTCTTGTCAGATGTTAACTTTCTTGAATACTTAATACACTACAATGGTGTTCCCGTCGTTTCTGTTGCAGTCAGAAACCTTGATTATGGTTTCACTGTTTCACTGTATTACAACAAGTTAATGTCTGTCTACAGCGATACACTGAAGTTTGAACAGTTGATTTTTAAACCTGTGCTGTGGTATAAACGTTATCTACGTGTAAATGTCAATTTTTTTTAGACATTTACATCAACTTAGGGAAGGTACACATGGAGTGGGTAGCGTTTACTTCATATGAGAAGAGAATGTGTTGTTTTGAAGGGAGTTTTGTTGATTTGTTGAATTTGGTTGAATGTAATTATGGTGATCTTAAATTGACCAGGGTTCATTGGTTATAATTAGTTGTTTTGGTTCTTGTATCTTATTTGGTTGTTGATTATATCCGTTTTGTAAAATATAATTGGTTGATATTAATTGAGTTGTATGCTATGATTTTATCTTGTCAAGATTATATTAGTTGATGCTATGTTTTTGAAGACACATGTTAATATTGGATACTTTAGTTAAAGTTGTTTTCTGATGCTGATTAGAATTGGTGAAGTTAATTAATTTGGTTGAATATTTGTGGTTTATACTGTTACCTAGAGTTGTAAAAATATTCATTTAGTGTTCTTCATTTTCGTGGCGATTTTAATATTTTGTTTGACCATAACTTAATTAGAGCTTGCTCCCGCCATGTGTCTTATATTATTCCTAATGAGAGACGTATACTTGAAAAGATATTAAGTGGTTGATTATTGATATATGTTTGTTTTGGGTGTGGATAAATATCAGAGTATTTTTTGGGGTGTAGATAATAATCAGAGTTTGTATTATGTATTGATGGATTTGAGATAGATAAAGATAAAAACTATCTGAAAAAAATAGTATTAATTAACAATTACATGCTTGTTTTCCAACTCAGAGTATTTCAATTTTAAGTCAGGCGGTGCTGCCCAGCATCTTGTTAATTGGTTCTTCGTTTTTTACTAAATCTTTTCTTAGATTGAATAACATCAAGGAGGTCATTTTCCTGACAATCATAACATTTTGAGTTCAAAGTGTATTTGTATGTTTTTTTTGTTTTTTTTTTTTTTTTTTTTTTTTGCTGATTTTCTTCTATAAGTGGCATTACCTTTGTTATTTTTGAATGGATTGTCTTTTAAACTTGAACAAAATAATTATTTAGGATATAAAATAAAGATAACCAGACTGATCATGACCTTCAATTAAAAAATGACATTTACATTTAAGCTATTACAAGGTCAATACCATCGATAAATGATTTCGTATTCGCATTTTCTTCGTACTTTTTTTTCAAATTCCGACTCAATGTATGTAAAACATTTCTTTTGAGATGCTGCCGTTTTTTAATTATTTTGTGGACTAGTTCTTCCATTGTTAGCTTGCCGACCGGGTATTTGTCTCCCTAGAGTATACAAGCTGGTTGACATGCCAAAAATCCCCATGGAATTTTACCCTTTCACAGCTTGGTTTCTCATAGTAACTTTCTTCACGTTAAGGTCCTATTTCTTCCTCCCCTCCGTTTTTTTGTGAGATGTATCCGATATCCCTGAACATGTGACGGATATCTTATCCATGGTATGGCTTTCTCAGATAGTTTTTGCTCTGGTTTGTTACCATGGGATGGAATGAGACCAGTCGTTTCCGCTTTCAGGAAGTTGATGGGTAATACTAAATTACAAGCAGTAGCGATTGTAATACATCGTTCAAAAGGTATTTTTCAGTAACGTCCATAAAATCGTCACGGATTTTACAGCAGTAACGTCGGATGATATCTACATCAGTTCTACAATTGAGTTCCTCCTCCAAATCAAAACTATGACTTTTGTGTCTTTCAAACCATTTCATAAACTGTCTGGATTTGTCTGCCTAAATGTCATCTTGATTTTAGTATTCTTTATCAGGAAGGGCGTCCAAAACAGCACCCTGTTTTTTCGGGACATCGAGTTTTGCCAAAGTCATTTGCAAAAAATTGATGCTTCATTTTGATGTACATCGTGGTACTATTATGCAAATCACTTTTGCCCCGTTTAGTACATTGTTAGGTTTGACCCATTGACCATATAAAAAAATGTAGAAAAGGATACGAGTCATACCATTGGAAATTATTGCAAATAACAATTGCGTTGTTATTCTCTACTTCAAACAATGAGATACAGAATACGTTTAGAGTATTTTTACCAACTAAGATGGATGTGCTCTCTTTGATTGCAGTTTTCACAGTCATGTTTCCTGACCCATGCATACTGACCCATGCACACTGTGCATACTTTTAACCGCCTCCGTGGTCGAGGGGTTAAGAGTCGATGACTTCTAATCCAGTGGGATCTGGCGTGGGATCGATCCCCGGGAGATGCTTTGGTAGTTAAGCGCGTAGGAAGGTAGTCTAGTACTGGTGTAACTCTCCAGGAACGATGGTTAGGAAACTACCCGCCTATATGACTGAAATTATGTTGGAAAAAGGCGTAAAATGAAACAAACAAACAAGCAAACAAACATACTTTTAGAACACATAGGTTTGGTCTATGTTCATAAACAACACAACCCGATTTTAATCGATTCTGACATCTTCGAAAGATATCTGGTTTGATTTAATTTCATATTCTAGAAAGTCATCCTGTGTACATTTAAAATCAAGGTAAGAAAATGTCTTTGCATTTTCAATATTGTCTACAAGTTTTCCTAAATTGATGTTGGTTCTTTCTGTAAGTCAAGTCGTTCTGGTGTCATGTAGCACCAAGTGCAACTGCGTCACAAAAGTTCTTCATGTGTTATTGTGGATTTGTCTGCATACGTGTATCTTCATTTGTTATGAAGATCAAAGCATTCCTGACAACGAAATAATCTGTGGCATGTTTCACATTCAATCCAAGCATCATTTACAACTGGATGAATTTTCCGGCATGCATGACATGCGTTGTTACAATTGTGATTTTCTTTACATGTGCATCCTTTTTGGCATAACGAATTATTTTTTTTATTGGAAGGCGGCAATGCTTGTTGTAACATCAAAGTGTTCGTCATGATAGTAGAGGTGAAGCTTGTTCTCTTATTCAGGACCTTGAAAGACAATGCCTTAAAAATGATCTTTCGACATCACGTTTATTAAGTAACCCGGTAACACTGTTTGAAACAACTTAATTTTAGCTTATCTGCATCTTTGAAGAAGCACTTGAGTATCATTATGAATCTTTTTGGTTAACTGTGTTTGAATGTCACACCCCATGCGAATGCTTTTCCATTATTCATGTTTATCTAGCCTTTGTAGTTATAATTGCTCTAGCACAGCACAACTCGTCACCATTTTGAATGCGTGTTATGCATCTTCGGCCAAGAACTTCTGTGTATCGACGTATCTGCAACGCTTGCCAAAACCTCCTTCAGGGATGTCAACAATAATTACTTCAATAATCATACACTCATCAAAGTCATTTTTGAAAAAAGACAGGCGAGACAACATAAAACTAGGCGAGAGTAAGATGACGCGAGGCGAGACTAAGAAAACGCCATGCGAGACTAAACAATTGACAGAAAAAGACTCAGAAAATCCAATTTTAACTCAAATTTACTTAAGAACCTCTCTGTTACCTCACTCAAAGAGAAATGATACAGTTCTGTACCGATCAGTTTAATATAGACAATAATCAAACTACTTGGCTTGTTGAAGTTTGTGCAGACAATGTCGTAGAATTTTATTTTATTCATGAACCATGACAAAACATTAATTTACTTCATTTTGATTTTGACATTGTGCAGTCTTTACAATTTGATGAGTAAGCAAAGAAAAAAAACATATTAAACAGATATTTCGTCAGTAGATCATGGAGCGCCGGGAGTGCATTTGCGAGCGCCGAGAGCTCAGTTTTTGAGCGTCGGGAGCACATTTGGGAGCACCGGGAGCGCAAGGAGCTCATTTCTGAGCTTCGGGGCGCATTTGGGAGCACCAGGACGCCTTTGGGAGTGTAAGGAGCTCATATGGGAGCATCCCACCCATACTCAGGAAGGGCCATGAGGAGCGCCCATGCCGGATATGTCATCACCAGAGCCAGAAATTGCACAAATAGAAGCAAAAGACACTATGGTCCTGATCCGTCCCTTAACGATGATGATAATTTGGCCTACAGGTACAAATGTTTAATATTAATTCAACTTTTTCTTGCATATCAGACAGGATTATCTACCGTTTTCACCGGTGCTAGAAAACTCTGTCTTACACCCCCCATGTAAGACAAGTCTCGTGTTTTAAATGACGTCATTGACGCGCGCCTTTTATGAATGAATCGCGTTCTTATGATGACGTCATTTTTCCGTTATGAATGAAGTTGTATGTTCATACGCTACTATAAGAAAAAAGTGCGTAATGAGAACATCAGTTTTCATAATTTCTGTTCCGAAAATAATTGACATGTATTATGCAAGAAAAAGAATCAAACACCGGCTGTTGGTACAGACGGGAGTATCTAGCTCTCGGGTAACTGTTTAGCGGAAACTCGGCAGAGCCTCGTTACCGCTGTAAACAGTCACCCTCGAGCTAGATATTCCGGTCTGTACCGGCAGCCGGTGTAAGATTCTTATAGTCTTCAATATGCATTTATAGGCTTTTACATGTGAAAGCGTATTTGAAATTCTGTCCATTTCTAAAGCACAGTTACATGATCTGTTCCACTTATAAAGTTGTATTTCATATTTCAGCTTGTGGAAAAACAACCTCTATGAAAAACTACGGAAAGAATTATGATTAAAAAATCAGCTCAGAATTCAAAGGATTGTGTGGTTTTATCGACGATGGCAACATTTGTATGACGTCATAAGAAGAACAGTTACTCCCATAGTGGAATTTGTTCAAGATTTACCCACATAACTTGATGAAGAGGACTTCTTTGATCCGCGGGTCAATGACTTGCTCAATAACTTGCTCATACTGGACGATCTGTTTTCGGAATCTGGGAAAAACAAAAGCTTGACAGACTTATTCACTGAGGGATAACATCACAGAACTCACAACTCAGAATTATATTTATTTTGAAAAATTGACAAACAACAATCATTTGTTAATTTGATTTCAAACCGTTCACTTCGGAGAAAACCAAGAAGGATATGTTGAAAGAAAAACGGAAGACATAATGGATAAAGTTGCTTGTAACAATTGTGGGCTCCTGTTTGAATTAACCCGCGATGTCCAAACAAAAGGCACATAAAGCATGGATGGTGTCGCGACAAAAACTATGAGCCTCTGGCGAAAAAGGCAAATGTAGACCAAACAGATGACGAAATCAAAGACGTAGAAGAAAAAAAAGCTTTTATCCATCTTTGGAATCCTGTTATAGCACAGTTCTAGGACAAATACAACACTCTATGCGATCAATATATTGAAGACTTACAAAAGGAATGAATTTTGCTGGAACCAAGGTTTCAAGTACATTATTGTTGGTGATAGACACCTTATCCAAGTATGTTTTGTTGCGACCATTCAAACAGAAAACTGGACAAGATGTTACTGATACACTCAAAGGCATCATGGTTGAATCTTGCCGGATACCTCCCCTTTTAATTACAATTACAGTACGAGTATATAACAATTCTTGATGACAGCGAGGAAAGTTATCACAAAAAGTTTCACAGAACGATTGTAATGAGACCCATTTAAGTAAAGGAAACAAACCAAGGGGAAGTTCGGTTATTCACGTTCTGTACACAAAACAAAAACAAAGGTAAAATGAACATTAAAATGAGATTTTCAAATTTAAGATTGGTGATTATGTACGGATCATTCATCATTTTCACACTGCATTTAATAGGGCGTATAATGAGACCTGCACTGGAGAACTGTTTAGAATTTCACAAACGATATCATAGAGGGGGTTTACCAATCTACTGTTTTTAAGATTTGCAAAACGAAAAAATCAAAGGAAAATTTTATGAGAGCGAGCTCCAGAAAATAAACTATAATCCTGATTAAACATTCAGAATAGATATAAGTTAAGTTTTAAAAATTAAAGGCGAAGGAAAAACAAGCAGTATCTTGTAAAATGAAAGTCCTTTTTTATCCAAAAACGTTTAATTCATGGATAGATGCCCGCGACATGCAGTAAGATTGCGTCTTATATGTTAAATAGTATTTATCAAGTTACTTATATATATTTTTATATTTTGTATTAATATAAATAGTATGGATATGTGTAATAAACACGAAAATATCTTATATTGATTTGTTCTTTTCGTTTGTTACAAGTTAGAGCTCCGATTGATATGCACTGAATCGTAGGCGTAGTCGCATGCCACAAATGCACCTGTACACCACGTTAACGGCTTCACACTCATAACTTTTAATTTAAACCAGCAATCTGTCAGTTTTACTATCACAACATAGTGTATCGTTTGAAGTTTATTTGTACTTTGTCGTCTGCTTTAAGATCTTGACGTGACGCTACCCGCCAAAAAATTATAAAATATTGAGGGAAAAAATAAAAGAAGGTATATGGTATCAAAAAATAATTTTTATTTGTTGATCATGATTACTTATAAAATGTTGTCGTAAAACGTGTCTTAACATTTTATCAGCGAAGACCTTTGTCTTTAAATATATCTAGGTTTCTCCATAAAATGATACTAATTTTAGTTTGGAAAACCCTCGATCCGTCACAAAACTCCCTAGAAACTACTAGATCTTTTCCAAACTTTACCAGAATGATCAGTACCAATTATAATTGTGCATATCGTCGGCATTTTTCGGTTCAATGATTTTGTGTCAGTGTTTTTTATTTTTAAAGTTTGTCCGGTCTATTTCTCCTATACCACTGAAGTTATTTCTATGAATCTTTAAAATATTTATTTGTTGTTCAAGTATTTGCACATATAACACGGGTTTTTCGGTGGAATGATTTTTTGCTGAGTTATGGCTGTTAAATAAAAAAAGGTTTTTTCTTGTGTGTTGCTAGCTACACGAAACCTTGTCCAAACTACTCCTGAGTAACTAATAGTGCAATGTTATCCAAACTGTTTAGGAATGATTAGTACCAAGACTAGTGGTTCACATCATCGGCATTTTATTGTTCAATAATTTGTGTCAGAGTTATGACCCTTTAATATCTTTTTTTTAGTTTTCAAGGTTTTTCGTGGCTACTTTTCTTATACTACTAATGCAGTTTCATGGAAACTTTACAGGATTGATTGGTAGCTCAGGTTCTTTGGCATATATCACGGGTTTTTTGATTGAATGATTTTTGGCTGAGTTATGTCTCTTTAATGAAAAGTGTTAAGAAAGACTGTCCGAAATACTCCTCTTATACCACTAATGCAATTTTATAGAAACTTTACAGGATTGATTAGTAGCTCAAGTGTTTGCACATATAACAGAGGTTTTTCACATATAAGATTTTTGGCAGAGTTATGGCACTTAAATAAAAAATTTCTTTTTCCGTGATTTTTGGACTGCCCTTCAGGAACTTGTGCATTTTCATCAAAACAGGTATAATCAATACTATGTTTAGTTGAGCATGTCATTAACATTTTTTTTATTTTATGATACTTGTTAGAGAAATGTCCTTTAAATATTTTTAATTATTAAGATTTTCCCGTACTACTTTCCCTTAATATACTACTTTTGCAATTTAATTGAAACTTTACATGATTTAATGGTCGCTTAAGAACTTGCACATATTATACAGGTTTTCAGGCGATTGAAGGAATTTCAGACGATTTATGGGACTTGAATAAAAAATATGTTATGTCCTGTTAATGATTTTTGGATCCCCTGATACACAATAGCTGTAATATGCAATTGGCTATCATAAGGAAACACACGTCATCACTGATGATCCTTGTTAACTTCTTTTGAAAGAGCAAACATAGTTTTTAAATTTTCAAATAATTGTTCCAGAACGTATAAAGATAATTTTTACCTGAAGAATGAAGAGCCGCCTAATATGAACTAAACCGTTATAAAAGTAGCAAATGTACACAAAGCTAAATCACTATAATTTATTGCCAAAAAAAAAAAAAGAAAAAAAAATGGTCCATATAATTTGCCACTTAAGCATTTTTTTTGAAAAACCAAAAAAGTGCATTAGAAATATAAAAAAATAAAGGCTTTTGAAAAAACAAACAAATAAAGAATGCCTGTGGCAAATAGGGCCGCCTTTAATTAAGTTTTTTTTTGTGTATCCATGCTTATAAAAAAATATGGATACAGATAATGAAAAACATATAAAAATGAATGAAGTCATAAGTAAAACAACAGCAGTAAATGCAGAAAGAAAGAAAAGCTAAATATGATTAAGGTAAATATCCAATAAGTCACTGTCTTGAAATTATGACAGAACATTCAATTTGAAACGAAAACCTTTTGTAATATGAAAATGGTGCATTTTTAATGTAGGAGCTTTGTAATATTTTGAGTATGAAAGTACTAAAATGTCATGTAATGACAACTTTATAACAAAAATATGATTATAAGAAAACAAAACAAGAAATAATACTTAGAATATTCATGAACAGTTTCTAGTTTATTTATCCAGGACAAGTTTCTTACATAGGTCACCAATAAACATTATATACTGTTATGAATTATTAACTTTGTTATTCATTTATCTAGGAACTCCTAAAGAACCTTTCATATTGCTTGTAAAAGGTCTTACTGGAGAAACTCTGACTCTGAGCGTGAAAAGTGACGCATCTATACTTGACCTAAAGGTACTTAATTTCATTTATTTTATCATTTGTTGGTTTTGATTATGATACATTAACTTGTAACCGGATGAAAGTATTAGCGACCAGTATAGAGCCATGCCAGTTCGTATTTCTGTGCGGTCCGACCATCTTCAAAACTTTTGGTTACTCAGTTTTGTGCTTAGATTCTTAAATACCTTAATATTTGAATAAATTGTTCAAAATTTAAACAATTTCAGCAGGTCAAGATTTATATGTTTGAAACCTTATATAAATTATGATTTTCCTATGATGTCTAACTAGTCTAAATCAGGTTTCAAATTGATTGAACATCCATGAAATCTGTTTTATTCAGCAATGTTGAACTTTATTGATATATTCTGTGGTTTTACATTGAAACCATGTCAAATAACGATAGGAGTGACTGCTAGTGGTTAAAATATTCACCTCTAAACCAAAGGATTGTTGGTTTAAATCCTGCTGGATAACAACCATATTTCTTATGACACAATTAACATACTTAGTTATAGGAAAATCTGAAACGAAAATCAAAGTGATCAAAATATACAACTGGCTTTATTTCTAAACAAATACTCTATATGCATGAATATTTGGTTTGAATTAAGCGTAAATATTATCTATATAATGTTGAACGAAAAAAAGGCTTCTTTAGGGTTTCTTATTTTCTCTATTTTGACAAAAATCGACCTTAGATAAAATATAAATTTTAAACGAAAGTACAAAGGACTGTTCCGATTCATATCATGGTCAGGCAATACACAAAGTAGTGGTTTAAGGTTGAATTATTCTCCTTTTTGATGAGAGAAATGACATTTGTTAGATTTCTAACATAAAGTTGGTCTCAACACAAAAAATCAAGAATTAAACAATGGTTTAGCTTTGTTATCAAAGAGATAAAAGTCAATCTGTTTAAACACCATTCATTTGTTGTACATTTAAGGTTTTGTTACAAGACGAAACTGGTATCCCTCCAGATCGACAGAGATTAATATTTGCTGGAAAAGTGATAGAAGACAAACATACATTAAAGGATTATAACATTCAAACAGAGTGTACGGTGCATATGGTATTGAGATTACGGGGTGGTGACGGTAAGTCTCTTTTATTTCTTGAATAATGAGTATAGGGGGAGGGGTGTTTGTTACACCTTGATGTGGATAAAAGGGGAGGTCAGAAATTTACACCATTATTCATTGTAAACAAATTGATTACAACTAATAATTATTTTGGAAACAAAAATAATTATTATTATTGAAAAATGTTTTACCAATTGATTGTTGGTGTAAAACTTGGGGGAGCATTGGCCTCGTGGTTAAGATGTCAACGCAGAGATCATAGGTTCGAGCCCTACTCGGGTCACGACCATGTTTCTTCATATGACACCAGTACTGGTTGTTTCCAGAAAGAGGACTCGAAAGTGATTAATATAAGTTGCAAGAACTTGTTTCGCAATCGAGCTAAATAACAGATGTTTAAACCAAAACTAAGGCATGTGGTATAATCTTCACATTACATAAATTAAATGGTTTTGTTTAATATTCAGAGAAAAAAACGATGACTTCAAGAACATTATTATTGAAGAAGATATCCCTCAATCAAAACACAATTTTAGAATAAAACTTAATATACATTTTGAGTCAACTCTTTAAGTCATTTGTCTTGTTATATGTCCTCTTTTAATGGTCAAACTAATGACAACAATATTAGAATGATCATACTATATGTTAATCATGCAAACATGTCCTTTTTAACACCCCAGCTTGAACTTCTGTATATGTTCTATATACATGTATTTCTGTAAAAAGTCTATATAGTACATGAATATTTTGTTTCAATTAAGCGTATATATATATGTTGACAGATTATATATATCTATATATATATATATATATATATATATATATATATATATATATATATATATATATATATATATATATATATATATATATATATATATATGTTGACAGATTATATATCTATATCTAATGCGTTCCAGAATAAAAAAGGAAATTCCAGATGTCCTTTTTCCGGGGGGCGACCTACAGACACTTTTTCAGCAACAAATTTACATGCAGAGAGAGATAGAGAGAGTGTATGTTGACATAGAGGAACAATTCCCCTATCTTTTAAACCTCCGACGAAACGCATTGCACCTGTTCGTTCTGTGGATAATATTCCACTATTTTCTATATGGATTTATTTTCTAAGGATAATGTTGGAATCGTTGCTCGGAGTTATTTGATGAATTGTCATAGAGCAAAATATTTCCCTTACTTTTAAACAGTAAACATTAATGCCTTATTAATAAATTGAAGACGACCAATACTTTTTTAAAATATGAAATAGGAGGGTTAAAAATATCTGATAATTTTTCGGTACATGCTTACATACTTTTATTTGAAAATATATAGTAGAGAAAAAAAATCATACAATAATAATTCACATAAAATAGATAAAATAATAATGGGCTATATAAAATATGATGACATTTATCTATTAAAAGGAACTCCACTGAGGTTTATAAGCTTAAAACATAACATTTTAATTTTTCACATAGATAAACATGAGCAATTTAAACAGAAATATTGATAACATATAACTAAGAAATACACCAGAAATACACTGAAAGTCATATGTTTGTGCTATCCTCAGTCCGATTTGAGTGAAAAACGTTTAAACGCTTTTCAATTTTGGGTCATTTATCACTATTATAATAATTATCCTAGAAAAACGGAGCGAGCTAATGATCTGAAATTTTGCACATAAGTTATTAGTATAGATCTACATCAAATGGAGTACTAGTCTCAAAATATTATTTGCAGTCCCGTCATGTCAAAAAACCTCAGTGGAGTCCCTTTGTCATCAAATTGTTAAGGACATAAATATGTGAATCAAATAACCCTTCACGTTTACTTAAAACTATAAGCATGTTTATCTTGATGCTATTGTTTATACTATATTAAACATGTAATGTAAAACATATTTTTATTTATTTTACACGTATGAATAAATCATTCAGAAATATTGACGAAATGTAATGCGTTTTTATCATTTTTCGTATTTTGTCTGTATAAGCTTTCTTTTACTGCAGTATTTTTCGTCAATATGCATATTACAAATAAATAAAAAAAGAGGGCTGTAATAGCTGCACTCATTTTAAAACAGAGGGAAGAATATATTTGACTGAAAATTTACTATTTATTATAATTACGGTATTTGAGCCGCGTCACGACAAAACCAGCATAATGGGTTTGCGACCAGCATGGATCCAGACTAGCCTGTGCATCCGCGCAGTCTGATCAGGAGACATGCTGTTCGCTTACAAACTATATAACAAGTACAGAAACTGATAGCGAACAGCAAGGATCCTGATCAGACTGCGCGGATGGGCAGGCTGGTCTGGATCCATGCTGGTCGCAAACCCATTATGTTGGTTTTGTCGTGACATGGCTCAATTTTATTTTCATTATGATTATCAATTTATCATATCTTATCCGTGTCTTCAACGACTGGTGAAATATTTATTTTCATACCTCTCAATCAAGTAAATAGTAGGGAAAAATACCTAAATATCCTCTTTTCATTATATTCTTAAATATCCTTAATATTGCATACATAAAATGCGTAGATTATTATTTTTCCTGTTTTTAAACTTTCAGAATTTATTTTTTACAGCAGGGAAACTTATTCCCGTATTTTCACTAGTGTCTTGCCAGACAACATTTTTCTGAAGTCAGCCACATCACAAAGTTAAAGCATTGTCTTTCAAATTTCAAAAAGTCGAACATGAGAAATTGTATATAATAAAATGATTTTTTTTTCTCTCTAAATACATGATTAATTTTCACATTGTTGCATGAAAGTTTTGATATTTCACTTGTCGTGAAATATCTATTTTCATACTAGAATTCCTGTATTTATAAAAAGAAACTTAACCATCACCTATTTAAATTGAATCATCTTTTATCTTCTATAGGAATCGCAAATTAAAAAACAAATGAAAATGATTTCGTCGTCACTTATTTATTATTTTATTTTTAGTGCGATACATGTGTAATTCATTGTCCAAGATATGTTTGTTAATTGCTGAAAAGTAAAACAACTAAAATAGAGAAGCATCACTTGGTGAAATCTAGGTATGGTGTGACATCTTGTTGTATTTTTCTATTACATCAGTTTCTTCACATCAAAGATCCTTTATCTGAAAACAAATATTGAAACAACGGTTAATCGTTGTATAATACAACCTAGGTTAACGTCATCATTTGTTTTATTGATCACAAACATTTAAATGAAATAGAAGAATAAACTAAGTAACTTCATTTTTGTATGGATTTATAAAATGTAAAACCAGATTCTTATATATATATATATATATATATATATATATAATAATATATATATATATAATATATATATATATATTATATATGTATTTATATATAAAAGCTTAAATTTTAACGTAAATAAGAAAATAACTCCCACAAAGTATTATTTTAATATTCTACAATAAAATGAAACAATAAGTGAAAATTCTTGCAACCTGCTGCATTAGCATAGTATAAAGGTGTCATAAATATAAAACAGTAAGGGAATAACTCCGCCTATTTTTTAAGCAAACGCTTGAATCGTTCTAGCTAATAAACCAGTAAGTTCCATTACAGCTGATTTAACCACAACTAAGAATTCATTAATAATTTATCGGCTAGTCGAAGTTCATGACCTCGTGTAAATTGTTTACAAGTGTCTGCAATTTGTAACAATTTTCAACATGGCTAATGAAGATACGACTTTCAGCGAACTTATTTGTTATTTTCTTCACATGGCCTATAATAGATACAAGAAAATACGCATTTAAAATAATTTTATTCTAAATGTTTTAATAATATCGTTTTAATCGCTTCATTATTATGTTTTTATCTTTTTTTGTATCTAAAGATATTATATCAATATTCTTACAATGTGCACAGATAAAGAAAATGTTACTAAATCATTTATATTTTTTAAAGAAACAACAGAGATTTCTTCTCAGTTTTTATTTCCTCATTCAAAAAAAGTATCCTTTTTCGTCTTTTGGGTCTTAATATAATCGATAATAGACATAAATTGATGTACAATGAACATATATTGCATAAAAAGTCAACTTATTAAATCATGATAATGATAAATATCATATCGCCTGAACAGAAAAACTGAAATTAATACCTTTGATTTGCATTTGATGATCGCATAATCTTTCGCTCTATTTAAGTGTAGTCCATTTGATTATAAAACAATAATAACACGCTACCACATCCTAATAAATGTTGTATACATGGTACTTCTGCACATCATGTTTTCCATTACGATGAGATAGCTATAGTGTCCGCTTAATTCGTTTCAGATATTAAATTACGCGTCAGAATGTTCCAGTAGCAAATTAGATGTAACACCGTAGTGTTAATTGCAGACATAGACGATTACCGCGATTATGTCATAAAAGGGGCAACATTCACTGCCGCGGCAGTGGGTATTTGTGGGTGTGAGTAATCAGTGATGTAAAAATGTCTGTTATAAACTCTGAACTATAAATAGCATGCAGTGTTAACCTGCAGAGAGAATGTAAACAAAAACAGCAGAGGTTTAATGGATGTTTTATATAACAAAGACATTATCAAGTCATCTTGTCCAGATATTATTTTTGAAGTCAGTTGTTTTTCTTCTTTTTTCACTGAAATGCTGTATGTGTCTTTCATCAAGTCAGACAATTATATCAAAATCCAAAAGATGTGCCTTACATGGGGCATTTCTTTTGAACAACCTGCTCAAAATGTTCTTGACAGGAATTAAAAATATTTTTAAACTGTTAATGTATAAAATTGTTATGCATATGCAACATTTATTTTGATTAACATTTGTGAAATGTAATTTTTGACTACAAGATATTTACAACAAAATATAGTGTAAATGAAATATACCTGGAAGTTACTTTTACTTTTCATGAAGTTTAAACCATTCAAATACAAATTAAATAAGTACTTTGAAATTTAAAAAAAATCATAAATTAATGGATTATTGTAACATTGTTGGATTTGATAAAGCAGGTCAGTAAAAAAGTATTGTTTTATTCAGCATTCCAATGTGTCGTCTGCCTCCCTGAAATATACATCGTCTGCTACAAATCTCTCTCCCTGAAATAAACACTGCCACGTGCTTCTGTTTACTACTGAAGGTTCATGACCTGTAATTATCACATGGCTCCTCCCAGGGAAATTCAAACTTCAAATTTGACAGCCAGTATTTTTTCCAGAAATACAAAGTTATATTTTGAATAATTTTGGTCAATCTTTATCAAAAATATCTATGCCTACAAACATGCCAAGTGTTGTTTTAATGCATTTGGTAATTAATCTTAAATCTTTGAAAAAGGGTCCCTGAAGTGAAACATGCATAAAATTAATAAGAAACCTGCCCTAGCACCATCTGCTGGCTTTTATAGTACAGTTCAATCTGATTATACAGATTGCAAACAAAACCATAGTTGCAGATAGCACATGTATATTACTATGAAAACTGTAACAATAGGATGAATTTATGACTTGCTCATCACGAGCTGTTATGTGTATCACGTGTAC